CTCCAGAGGAGATATACAAATAGCCAATAAGCACATGAAAAAATGGCCAACTTCATTAGTCATTGAGGAAATGCAAATTAAAGCCACAAGGTGATACCATGTCACATTTTCACGCCAACTAAGGTGGTTATAATTAAAAAAAATAAAGTAACAAGTTTTGGGAGAAATGTGAGGAGTAGGAAAGTTTGCGCATTGCTGTGGAAATGTAAAATGGTACAGCCACTGTGGAAAACAGTTAGTAGTTCCAGTAATTCCACTCTTATGTATATGTGCAAGAGAAATGAAAATATATATCCACACAGAAACATGTACACACATGTTTATAGCAGCATTATTCATAATAGCTTAAAGGTGGAAATGATCCAAATGTCCATCAACAAATGAATAGATAAACAAGTTGTGGAACATACATACACTATTATTGGGCCATAAAGAAGAATGAAGTACTGATGCCTCTTACAACATAGATATATTTCAAAAAACATGATGCTAACCTAAAGAAGTCACACCCAAAAGGTTACATATTGTATGATTCCTGTTATATGAAATATTCAGAATAGACAAATCCACTGAGACAGTAAGCATATTACTGGTTGCCAGGAGTTGGGAGAAAGGTAAACGAGGAGTGATTACTTTGGGTGTGAGGTGTTTTTCTGGAGTGACTGTGATTCATTCACTGAATTAATATTTATCATGTATCTACTATGGTCCAGGCAGTATTTCAGTCACTTTTGCATGGGCTTTACATTCAAAAGGAGGAAAAGACTAAGAATAAGCAAATAAATACAGAATATATCTAGGTGTTAAAAATTCTAATAAAGAGAAATAAATCGGGCTAGATAAAATAAAAAGGTTGAGGAGAAGTGCAATTTTACATACGTAAAGCCTGCCTGTTAAAGTAATATTTGTGCAGATGCCTGAAGGAAGTGAAGAAGCAAGTTATGGAAATGTTTAGGAAAAGAACATTCCTGGCACAGGAAAGAGCAAATGCAAAGATGGGAGCATGCTTGGAAGTGTTCAAAGGAATGCCAAGAATATCAGATTGATAAGAGTAGTGTGAAAGAGCAATGTTAGGAAATGAGTCTGGAGAGTAGCCAGGAGCCAGATTATATGTAAGATCTGTGCTATGGCTAGGACTTTGGATTCCATTCTAACGATGACAGGAAGCCACTAAGATGACTCAGGACAAGTGTGCTTTAAAAAGTCACTCTGGCTACTGTAACCACAGTATTCAATTCAATTTATGGGGAATGTCCCAGACATTGATGCTTAGATTACCAGTTCTGAAATCAAGAAATATCTGGCTTTCTCATCCAACTCTTCCCCTAAGCAGCTCGCTAATTTAGGTGAGGCCTTCAATCTTGTCATACTTGGATCTTCTCACCAGTCAAATAAGGAATTGATTGAAGTCTCTTCCAAGTCTGTCATTCTATGATTCTACAAAGTTAAAATAGACTTCACTATTATATTAGCGCTTTTACTTAAACTGGTGATTCTCAACTCAGGGCATTTTTGCCCTGCATTTGCAGTATCTGGAGACATTTTTGGTCGTCATAACTGGAAAGGGAGTTGCTACTGGCAGCTAGTGGGTAGAAGTTAGGGATGCTGCTAAATATTCAGCATTGCACAGGACAGCCTCCCACAACAAAGAATTATCTAGCCTAAAATGTCAATGATACTTTTGTTGAACCCTGATTTAATAAACAGAAAATTCACATCATTTACTCATATATAATTTATGGCACTGAAGTTAGTACTTTTCTAACTTCAGATATATAAAGTTCCTGATCCTGCTTAACAATTCATTGTTTATCAAAGTCAGGGGTGCCATAAGCTATTTACTCTGAATAATTTTATATTTTGATTATTTCTATATGGATAGAAAAGCTGAGATTAAAATTAGACCATAATAACAGCTAGTGATTCAGAAAGAGGCCTCTTAAATTATACATACTTAGGTTCAAATAATGCCTCAAATAATGTGACTTTAGGCAAGTTATTTAATTTCTGTTCCGGAGTTTCTTCATTTGTAAGATGAAGATAAGAATATCTATGTTGCAGGTATATTGTGAATAAAATAATAGTTTACAAAATGCTTAGTCTGGTGCCTGGCGTAAGGTAAGCATTAAATGAATGTTGTAATTATTACAATTTGCTAGGTAGACTGAATATGGCCTGAAGTTTGCAGGTTGCTCTTCACTTTTCTAGAATCTCCCAATTTTCTCCTCCCCTATTCTCTTTTAATTTGTTCTTTCTAATCTGCTGTGAACCAAGATATTAGATGTCCACCCTACCATCATTTTAAGAATTGCATCTAACGAATGCCTGGGAAACTCCTAGGAGGAAAGTGCATGGATTTCTACATGATGACTGCTCAGAGGCCTTAACTCCAAGATTCCCAGCTATGTTCCAAATAACAGAATTCTGTCATATGAATGACTTCTCTGTGTCGTTCCTATGACAATTAAATATTGAAAAAAGTTTCACAAGTAATTATTTTGTTCACATTGCCCGGTAAAATCTCTTGGAATTTAGAAAAGCTCTGTTAGGTGATGAGATAATCTAATACACCAGAACCTAAGATCCATCCTAAATAAGACATGATGCCTTGGTATTTGCACGTTATAAGCCCCTAAGATCTTAGAGTAGTGATGCTCAGACTCACTTTTACTTGCAAACAGCATTTCTTTAATACTTCTGAGTAAAGTCTTTTACTTGCAAACAGCATTTCTTTAATACTTCTGAGTAAAGTCTTTTACTTGCAAACAGCATTTCTTTAATACTTCTGAGTAAAAATAATATGTAATAGATATTTTGAATAGTTCAAGTAATATATATAATAGATATTTTGAGTACTTCAAGAGTTATAACTCTTCTATTGATCAGAATTTCTTAATCTCGTGTCCATAGACTCTTCCCAACTTCCCACTGTATTCCACGAATGGGCTCCATGTATGCCAAATTCTGCACTTGTATGTCTATGTGTATGCAGACCATGCGTTTTGAGGCCTAAAGAAAAGAGTCTTTGGGCCTACAAAATCTATGTATCTTTCAGTGAATGGCATTTTAAAATGTGGTTCCGGTCATAGTACATTGAGTGCCATGGGATTATATTGCATTTTCTAGTGAGACACTGATGAAGATAAACTTTAGACTTGAGGAAAACAAAATCTTTCAAAATGAGCAAATACTATCATTTTTAAAGTATAGCTCTTTATTCCTAAACGTTTTCCCAAACTGTGGTAGATGCTGCTGATTGTTTCTCAGTATGCTTTCCACTTCTTCCATAATAGTTTTGTTTTTGTCTTTGTTTTTGTTTGTTTGTTTTGCTGGACACATTGCCACCCAGAAAAATCCTTCCCCAACCTTCCTTGTACCTAGGTATAGCCCTTGTGGCCAAATTCTGATCAGTGAAATTTGTGTAATTTCCAGGGGGTTTTTATTTTACCCTTCTTACCTTTCTTCCTCTCTGCTGGCTGGAGCCTCATTTCATGGCTTACAATTGAGTTATTACATGAGGAGGAAATTAAATTTCCATTGTGTTTAAGCCACTGTTATTTTGGTCTTGAAAAGTAGCTGATCCAATGGCGTAATACAAACACTTTATTCCAAAAAGACCGATATTGAAGAAACTGTCAGATATTTAAGTTCGGTGAGTACTTTAAGATTCCTAAACATTTAGTTTCCAGCCACTCTAAAACACGACAGATCAATAATTTAATTATGTGGTCCTCAACCAAGATTAGCTAACTAAATGAATAATTTAAAAATATAAGCTCGATGTTATTTTTTCTCTTAAATCAGGACATTATGTATTACATAAAATAATAATTATTAGACAATAATATATAAACTAGGTCAAGTAAATTTTATCATTTTTTTTCACAGTGCTGAAACTCCCAGCATTCCCACTGTCAAATCCACCTACAGGTAAGTGATATATCCCATATTCAGAGCTCTTAGCACAGTATCTGTTGATTCTGAATTGACACTGGCTGACTGCCGAGCTCCAAAATGTTCTCACACCTAGGCCCAATCTCCCCAACTATTCCTGAGGTATGGGACTAGATTACAATTGATATCAGGCCTTGCATTTTTTACCCAGAGAAATCTGTGGTAGTCTAGAGAGGTTAAAAAGAGGTAGCAGATTTTTGCAGGGGGGTTGGAAAGATGGTCTGGGAGTCTTTTGGCTGATCCATAGCGATCTTGACAGATTGAAGTCTTAGTGAGACCACAAACCTGCATCCACCTTCTGAGGATAACATATTCAGTGATTAAATCTTGACTTGGGAGTATTATTGTATTTCCTGAAATAATCTAGGGAAGGCAAAATTTTACTTACATTGCAAGATGGTAGGATCTCCTCTCCATTAGATTATATAAAACCATGAAGGATTTTAACTGTTACATTGCCAGCACATAATGAAGTGTCGAAACTTCGTAACCTCTCAAAGAATGGGTGTAGAATTTGGTCCAGTGTGTGCCTTGGGGTTTAATTGTTGTGACAAATTTTTTTTAACTTAAAAAACTTCTCTACTTACGTGTGAATAAATAAAATTAATTTGGGAGGAATTTAATTATTTTAGGTTTCTATGTGATAGAATGTAGTTTGGCCTGTGATTAATATTTAAATATACAATCCCATTACTATTAGAAGAGGGAATCCTGGAATTGAATCCGAGCTATACTATTAATTCGTCGTGTGAACTTGGGAAACTCAGTTTCCTCATTGGAAAATGAGGGAAATGTTTTCTATGAGCTCTGAAACTCTGATTTTACTGCTTAGTACATAATAGGTCTCAGTTTTTGCTAAATAAGTGATTCTATATTGCGTTCAAGATCTCATATTTAATTAGTAAAAGACTGAAACATTGCTCAAAAGTTTTTCCTTTATCTAAATAGAAAAATTATCTGAAAACTATTTCTTGGTAAATACTTCAAACTTAGTAGTTTTAATCAAATATTTAATCAAATATGATAAATTTTATTTTTGTATGGGATCACCAGCAGCAAGCTCCCCAATTTATCACTTGAAATTTGCCAGTTAGATATCATTAACAGCTTTTAATAACTCAGCCTAGGAAATAAAAAGTGTATGAAAGCAGTTATTATATTTTGTACATTTAATTGGAAATCATATATATTATATTGAACCACATTATATTGCACCACATTATATTGCTGATATTCAACGGTTTTGGCCTTCAAAAACGGCAGTTTTATATGGTTCAAATGGAATATATTTAGTATTAAACGCGTTTAAGAAATATGGCAATAGGGGTTCCAAAGCCTCTCATTCTCCGTTTTACTCCTATCATCTCCTGCCTGTTAGAGATGTGGTATTATTCTAAAATTTCAGAATCTATCTCTCCTACATTTGCAAGTTGTGGTTTAAAAATAGTATAAATTAGTAATTTTGTTTAGCCAGGTATCCCAAAGGGCTAGTACGAATAATTCAACGTTTTATAGAGAGAATATACTGGTAGTTCCTTGATTATTTAGGTCAGTGGTTTACAAACTTTAGCGTTCATAACAATCACTGGAGAACTTATTAAAACAGAGGTTTCTGAGCTCTATACCTAGAGATTCTGATTCAGTAGATTGAGGTGGAGCTAATGAATTTGCCTTTCTTACAAACTCCCAAATTACGCTGACGCTGCTGGGTCCTAAGATCATACTTTGAGAACCAGAGACCTGCGGGGTACAGAAGAGACTTATTTGTTGTAAGGCCTCTTCTTCTTCTTCTTCTTTTATTTTTTTTAGTAAATAAAGCTCAAGCTGATGAGGTATGAGATAAACTCTTTAAGCCAGAAACATTTCTTGGAAAAGTACTACATTAGCTCAATTGTAAGGTAATCGTAAATTGGATTTGCTTTGAGTTAATTCCTACAGCCCACAATTTCAGGACAACTAACTCTTAAGGAATTTATTCACCTGTTCCATCTTTAAATCTGCATGGTGTTCTGGCTTGCCAGGACGCCCAAACCTGATGCTAGAGCTCTAGGCCAGGGTCACTAATGTATTATCAGAGGCAGCACGTCCAGCTTGACAAACTCTGCAGGAGGTTCCAGATAGAGAAGCGCGTGGGCGCCAATCTAGGAGACCAAACCCGACCTGAGCAGTCCGCCAACCTAACCGCATCCGCGAGTCTTTTCTCCTTCAGGGTCCCTTGTGGAGTTCGGGGAACCAAGTAGGAGTGAAAAGGAGCCCCTGAAGGAACGCAGCGGGCAGGTTTAGACCAGTGGGAGATCACGCTGCGAGTCTGCGCCCAGAACCACCGCCTCCGAGCAGTCGCGGGATTGCCGCCTCACAAGGAGCCGTTCGGCCCAAGGACCGACCGAGCGCGGGATCTCTCAATCCGGAGAGGCTCTGCAAGCCGGCATTAAGGCCCGCGAGCTCGCTCACTCATCTCAGCCCACCCAGTCGTCCAGGCTTGCGAAATGTCGGCCAAGGCTGAAGTCGGCTTAGCGAAGGAGGCTTCTCGGCAGATCCTGGCCGGTGGTTCCGCTGGTAAGGCCGCTCCGCCCCGCCGGGGGCTAGTCGCGTTTCCTTTCGCGTGTACTGAAAAACGTTTCTCAGACAGGGTTCTCAACATAAGTTTTGCCTTCATCCTCCCGATTCCGCGCTGAGGGCCGGGTGGAGCGCGAGAGCAAAAGAGGCCAGGAGCGGGAGGCGGGCAGCGGGGTGCCCTGGGTCAAGTTCCCGAGACGTACGCGTCGGCAGCTCTTGGGTTCCCCGCCTTTTCGGTTCCTAGCCTGAAAAGGAAGGTAGGCAGCCCCAAGGCTTGCAACTTTGAGGAGGCCTTGAAATGATCCAGTTTCTGTCAGACTTGGTTTTGCTATCAATTATAGCCTCTTTTGAGTTAATTCAGATCTTGCATAACTCCAACCTCCCTCATTAAATCATATACCTCAGGACTCCACAGGTCTTATTGCATACTGTGCTTGCTTGGGGCTATTCGTACCTTAAATAGGCATATTAAAATTAAATGCATATGTTAACACATATAAACACCTTATATATAATGGGCTCATATTCATTTATGGAGAGTTATGCTGTGGGAAAAAAACCTTTAGAAAAAAATCTGTGATACTAATCATGGAAATAATTACTGAGTGTGGCTGGAGAAAGTTACCCATGAGGTTATGTTATGTGAATGAATTTTAAAAATATTTTTAAAAATTATTTAAAAAATAATGATTGATTGAAAAGCTAATCTTAACATATTGATACATTTTTATTATAACTATATAAAGTAATTACTATAGTTCACTCATCACCATAAAACATTTTTATAAATGTAAATATTTTCTTAGGAAATGTAGATATTCTCTTAATAAATTAAGACGACTAGATGTCTAATATTTAACTTCTAGTAAAATTTACTTGATTTTCAAACAGATTTGGACTTAAAAGGGACTACTACAAATTATGACTGGTTTTCATGATGTTATGAACTATTTGCATCTCGGGGGCCACAAGCAGCAGGATGTATCACTTAACAATCTGTACACTTTCCTAAAGATGATATTTCATTAATATGTCAATCAAAGCATTCATTTTTGACGTGTAATTGTGCTGTGCTCATCCATTATTATGCCAATGGCTCCACTGTCTACTTTTTTTAGCTGTTTCCTTATAGTGATGATGAATTTGCACCAACTTATTCACCATTTTGATCAAATTCCACAATGTACAAGACTCTGCCAGCTGTCACTGACTCGCTTGATTCAGAGTCCATGACCCTGATCAAAGAAAACTCAGCTGGCTCAACAGGGAAGTGAAGCTAATTGATGAATGTCCTAACCTATGTCTAACGATTCACAAGCATCTGTATATTGGCTTAGATGATCACACTATGTACTAGACACAGCTAAACTTAAGAGATGTTAAAAGTAGATCAAACTCTAATTCCACTGTTTTATTGGATGATAAATATTTGGCACAAATATAATGTGTGATTCCATCATGTTCTTACAATTATAACTAATATGAATGAAAATTAGTACATTTATAAGATGAATTAAACATAGCTTAGTTGATTTGTACATTTACTATATGGAATTATTGATAAACAATGAGAGTAATTTATCCTTTCATCATAATGAAAAAGAGTCATGTTTTCTTCCACTTGGACAATAACATTTTCATAAAATTTTATATTTATTGGACATTAATAAGTTCAGGCTAATCATAAATATACCATGTCAAGGGCCAAAAAGAAATCAATATACAAAAGAGGCAGAATTTAATAAATACCAAAAAAATGCATGTGAATCTCTAGCACTGGTGTTCTGATTACTGATGGTGTCATCAGCAACACCTCTGTGTGTATGTATTATATGATCTTTTAATGGTAAAGGTTACAAATACATTCTTGCTTTTTTAAGGGGGAAGAAAAAAAAAGTTGGGAGGTTTATTAGAGAAATACCAGGTATCTCATGGAATTCAAGGTCTGGAATGCTTTCATGGGAACAGATTGGAATCAGGAGCTGAAGCACTGAGGGAAACTCAGGAAGTGAACTCTTGCTGTCTTTTCTCTTTGTCAAGTGTTTAGGCATTTCCAAGGCTACCAATAGGGTCACAAGTAATACTACTACAGCTGTTAGGATGGCTTGCCATACTTCCATAGATTTCCCCAGTAAGGAGTAAACATGCTCAAATGGATTCAGACAGTTAATTACTTAGCCAAAAACAAGTCATTATGGTGTCAGTTCCATGTGTTCCTTGTTCCACAGATAACACCAAACCGAAGAGACTGATGATAGATGGTATGAGCAGTAGGTCCCTCTGCCGTTGGGGAGCCACCACAGAACCACATCCAGGCAGTTTTACAGGCTTACCCTGAAGTCTGCAGCTTACCTCAAGAGGGATAAGGTGGAAAGCCTCGTGCTCGGCTGGAACTAGGGAGATAGAAGAGAACGGGCTTGTGACAGTCTCCCACAAGATAATGGGAGAAACAGCTCTCAGCAGCTCCTCGCCAGGTTGCTTATCTTTCCTTAGGCTAGAGGAAATTACGGGGCATTCTGCCAAGACTCAAGTCAGACTGTGGTTAAGCTTTTCCTACGCGGCCTATGTGACGTTGTCAGGTGCCATGCTGTAGAGCTCTTTCCCAAAAACAGTGTCTTCATCAGTCTTAGAGTTGACTGCTGTTTTCTGCTCTTCAGTTCACATGGTGGAATGTGGTCCCCAATAGCTCCTCAGTGTAAATACTCTTGACTTCTGTGGAGAGAGCAAGAGACTGACTTGCTTTTTTCAGTTCTATAAAACTATAGAACTGGTATAAAACCCAGAGGAAAGACTCAAAATTACCCAGTATTGGCCAGGGACCCATCTCTGCACCAATCGGTTATAGCCAATGTCCATGTGGATGGTTGGGGTGGGGTGGGGATCTCAGAGGAGATTATTTTCCAGAGAAGCTACACATATCATGAGATGGGCTATAGGTATCTTTTATAATGATATATGCCAATCATTTATTAAAAGATGGTTTGTAATATTTGTATTAAAAAGATCAAAGAGTTTGATACACTGACAGTTGTTTGGACAATACACATTTAAACACTGACCTTGAGTTTGTTGCTAGGTATTATATATAGATATTGTTACCAATGGCAACTTTGTTTTATATGATGAAACTGTGCTTAAGACAAGTCAATATATATTGGAGTGTTACAGGTTTCTAGTCTGCATTCTCAGCTTTAAGTAATAGCCTAAGATTCGGGTAAGAGAATAGAAGCCAATGATGAGAGCTTCAGGAAGGTAAGCAAGGCCTAACACTATAGAGGAGTTAAGGTTGAAAATGAGAAGAGGCTATTAGATTTGACACTTGGTACTCAGTGTGGTCCATAGACGATCAGCAGGGGCATGGTAGCACCTGGAAGTTTGTTTAAATTGTAAGCTCTTAGGCCTTACTCCAGACCTACCACATAAGAATCTGAATTTTAGGAAATTCCCCAAGTCATTGGTTTATACTTCCAAGTTTTAGAAGCACTGCCTTAGAAGACCTTTGAGAAAAGAGAGTCCATAGAGTGGGAGCTAGAATGCAGAAGGTTGCAAGGTAAATCTTTTTTTTTATTGCTGACCAGAGAGAGAAGAATGAATTTTGTATGCCTTATTATGTGCCCTCGATTTCACTTTCAGGTTTTATACCACCACTTTCCTATACATTTCATTAAGTTTCTGCTAAATAGATCTAATCATACTTGAATGTTGTCTGTACCTTTCAATGTTTATTCCCAGTTCCTGGAATGTCTTCCCCTTATTTTCTCCACCTATTGAAGTCTTATCCATTTTTCCAAGGCCTAGCATGAAAACTATTTTCTGCATAAATGTTTCCCAGATGGCCTCTACAGCCCTATCCAGCTTTAACATTCTCATTAACATGTGAATGGTGAAAATAATAAGAATGGCTAACATTTATTGAGTCAATACCAAATGCCATACCTGATTCTAAGCTTTACATGTATCAACATTTTTAATCCTCACTACAACTCCAGGGTGAAGAAACTGATGCACAGAGGGCATCAGTTTAAATTGCCTATGGTTACACAAGCATGCCACCATTTCTATAGGATATCAAGATAGGAGAAGGACTAGGAGAATATTACTCCCACTAACAGACATTTTTAAAAGTTGGAGAGACCAAGTCAAGTATGCCATCTCTTATTATCTCTGCATCTCTTATTAGTTTACATCCCTTAAAAGAACTTTTATTTACAAATACAATCCTTATAGTCTTTCTGTTAAACACAGTCTTGCTTTTTCCAAATACTTTCATGTGGTCACAAGATTAGCTTTCAGCTAAAAGAAAATTCTCAATCCAAGATCTCTATGTGCAGTTAGGCAGATGGTGGACGGAAAAAGGACTCCAGCCACTGGAGCAAGTGGGAGCGGAAATATACTCCATGCTCTGAATCATAATCTGGAGCAGAAATGGATCCACCTGAGACCCTTTCTCTATTTCTCACAAAGACAGCAAAATGGATTGCCAGCAAACCTGACAGCCACACTGACAGAATTTACCCAAACTGGCTAGAGCCAAGGTCCCTGGGCCTCAGCATCCGTCAGGCCTCCACATCATCACGCTGTATGCTCATCAGCAGGGTTCCAGGAGGTTTTCCTGTTATGCACATCTCTTGCTTGGACCAGGAACATGGCTCCACCTCAGACCCTCCTATCCTCCCTAATGACCGGTTTGGGCTTTTCCGTGTGTTTCTGAAGCTCATGGGGTTCTTATTTCTCATGTCATGTCGGAGCTTTTTAGGCCCACTCAGATGGGTATTCTTTCCAAGTTCTCATAGGGCACCCAACTTCAGACTCTCCTAGGATCTCTGATGAAGTCCCCTCAGACCCCTGAGAGACCCTGCTCTCATCAGGGCCTGTCAGGCTCCCTCCTGAGGGCATGTCAAGGCCCTATCCACAGTGGATTCCTTTCCACAGTGGAATTTCCAGGAGCCTCCTCGTTCTGCCTCCCAGAATCTTATACTTGTATTCCTGGAAGTCTGCAA